GGCACGCGCATCGGACTCAGCAGGCACAGTTCTTTCCGCGCGGGGGTTTGGTTCCGCAAATGCCTTGACCGGCGGATTCTCTTGGAACTCGTCCCCAAGGGAGACAAAGTCTGTGAAGCGGAAGCCTGGCCAGTCCGTGAAAAAGTCTTGACACTTCGGCTCCCATGAAGAGACATAAAGAAAACCCAAATAAAAACCCTGCCAATATGGCACCAGTATTATTAGTGGGGAATATTTATGATAAGGCGTGAGTGGGTTTTTAGTGAGGGGGAGGGAAACTGGTAGACATAACAAAGTTTGTTGAAGCCCAGAGCAAATGCGCCTTCAATTGAACTGCCTTCGGTGTAGCTCTGCCTGTATGCGCAGTAGTTCATCCTGACAGTGGGCACTCGCCATAATAATCATATTCATAGTATAAAATGGTACTAGTGGTACAGTAATAATTAGGAGTACTAATAGGAATAATGATAGTAATAACAAGCACCACATCAATCGCGTGTTGGGAATATGAACGGGCATGCTTACAAGGTCAGCGGGCATTTCACCAGTTGCAAAGTCAGACGTCTTCATGTGGCACTTCTGGAATCCGCGGGTCCTGCAATCGTCACAACCCCTCCTGTTGCACTTGACCCACTCCGCCGTCTTTGACTTTGAGAAGTCGAAATTCGCATCCAAATGTTGGCCACATGTTCTGCAGCCCGTACAAGTGAACGCGCAGATGGTACTTCCTCAGGTCCAGGACACACCTTTGAAGTCTAGACTCCAAACACTGCCCTCCTGTGGCCTTGACGATCAGTCAGCAAATCTGTCACTACATGTTGCGGCTCCCAAGCTTTGGCAGCCATGAAATACAGTTGCTGGAATGAAGTGCTGTTACTGCAACACCACGCGTCACTACTCCTGAATTATCACCAGCCTTGTTGCAGCTGAGGCGCCCGTGTCTGCAATGACGGAGGTTCGCTGGGGCACAGGTGTGCCAACCTTGACTTTTGCCAAGAATCGCGCAGCGGCGGACTGAACAGCCATGTCTTCGATGACCGTTTTGCAATTGTAAACATATCTACTTCATTCAAAGCTCAGCATCACCACAAACTTAACTCAGCCATGGCGCAAGCATATCAACATAGTAGTACTGGTGCGTCACCTGACAAGGCTGTCCTCTCCTGTTGGCCTTTCCTCAAGCAGAACCCCTGGTGAGAAGAGCCCTCATAGCCCTCAGACGAGCAACCACAAACGAAAGCCCTCCACTGCTGCGACAGTCTGCGACAGCATGAAATGCTTCCTGCCGAGATGCTACGTCACCGTAGAGCCGCGCAGACTCAATTCCTTATGAGTCGCAAGAAGAGCTTCTGACGACATTATGAGTCAGCGGTTGAACCCAATCAGCAATGCTTGGTCTGCATGCTTTTGGGCGAGGCATACACAAGCTGAATGGGCACACTATGCGAAACATCGAAGCCCCTGGCAAGGCCGACTAAAACGTCAAGGTAGTATCGCTATGCGGTCTTTGTCTTGATTCTCACACGCATGCCTGAGATGCAGGACATCTCCACAGCTTTACAAGGTCAAGCGGCTCTTCTGCGCATCATAAAGTCGGCGACTCCTTGGTTCTTGCTGTTGGCGGGAAAGCTGTTCCCGGGCTACACTGGCCCGTGGACCAGTGGGTCTAGTCCGAAAAAGCCGTCTCTGCCAGGTTGCGAACTTTGGTCGCCATGCGAAGGCATCCCATGGCCAGGCCAAACAGGCCGTGTCCACGGACAAGCAAAGTGAAATTCTAATTCTGGGCTGGGGTTAGGGTTATATTGGGGTTATATTGGGATAATGGAAATAAAATGGTAACTACTATTCAGGGCCAGGGAGTGCAGTAGTGACTCCTGAGTTGCGAGTTTCTGGTGTAGGGGGTTGGAAGCCATGACTGCACTCCGCGGCGCATGAATTTCCAAGCTGAAATGGTAGTACCGTCCGACCACCATGATCCACTTGAAGACACAGCACGCTTGCAACCAAGCAAAGTCATAGAAATCAGCATTGAGTAACCAATGTGATGGACACATTAATCTTGCCAACTGCCATGGCCTTGACGTAGGCGCTGAAAGACGAGCAAAGCACAGAAGGCCAGAAGTGGACTGTCTAGCCCCAACAAAAGCTCACGTTCAACATCTTCAAAATACAGATTCCCCTTTCCAAGCGACGAGTTCACCAACCCCAGATTCGAGATACTTAACAGCCCTCACATAGAGCACAGCAGCATGCTGCCTCCTAAGCAGATGGCCTCCGAATCCTTTGCTGCGGAATGCCAGGGCGGGAAATACATGGGACTGTCAGATTCTGCAAGGATTGTTCGCGCATTGTTCTGCTGCATCAAGAGCAAACATGGTGCAGGCATGATGAGGTTCCTCTGACCAAGATCGCTTCTGCACTCTGCCTTCCAACATGCTGTGGGCGCGGCTGCAATTCCAAAGACTGCCAGGTACCTACCTTGAGTTGGCTGACCTTGGGCGTCAGGACATGTGCTGGAACGCACGGAGGGCCTTACGTGAAAGCCATGCTCTTTGAAGTGTTTACTCAATTTTGGGCATGCATCAGAGCCAGAATCTGTTGAGTACTCACCTGGACCCTAGGCATTAGAGTAGATGAGCCGCGTTCATATCCACAACCTGATGCCGTGCTGCGCAGGACAATTTGGGCTCTGAGAAGATTCAAGACATCCCGGCAAGCTGCCAACATGCACATAATGAGCTGAGTCCCAGGCGGCATTCCAAAGGTCTTCTCCTCAGCTCATACCATACTGAAAGTGTTGCTTTGGATTGAACTTCGACTCCTCCCCTGCGCCTAGCAACAAAATCAGACTCCACTGGCAAGAGACTCCTATACTCACTAGTGAACTCACGATCACCGTACGTCAGCATGCGTCAAGCTGGAATGCGTGCATCATGGACATTATATCCACTACCAAAGTCTCGTGCTTCAGGGGTGCTTCTTATGATTATTATGGTGAAGCCGAGTGAGATTGATATATACTTCTGAAGAAAGTATCACAGAAAGGAGAATGCAGCGTAGTCTAGATTTGGGTCCATAATACGCCATGCGAGGTTCAGGTACTACTCATCTACCACCCCTAGAGATACAGTGCCTCAGAAAGAATTAATTAATCAATCTGCGGACACTACCCCGATTGCTTCGGCAAAGAGGCTGGGCCGGCAGTCATCAAACACGTCCACCTCAAGCCAAGCTCTCTTAGGGTGTTCTAAAGCCGAAACCCTAAACCATCAGGGCATCCCTGACCATTTGGTGGATCCTGTATTTAGGGGTTTCCCAAAATTAGGGGTCCCTATCATAAGTATAGGGGTTATATAGGGATAATGGAAAAGAAAATGGAGTATCAGGGCATCCCTGAGCTTGAGGGGCAGCTTGCTTTCCTGCAAGTGTGGTATGCTTCCACTTCCTTGTTCTGCCTACGTGACCTATTGTCCACAAAGCCCAGCCTGTCGCTTCGAAGTCAGCTGAAGAGCAATTGATGCCTCAGTGATATGCATCAGGCTTGAAGAGCTTGGCTCTCAAATGTAAAGAAAACCGTCTAGAAGATACAGTGTTGTCATGCGTTATGTAGATCCTGTGCGCCGACAGAAGGCCTGAAGCAAAAGCCGGCATGCTTGATCGAACCATATCGAGTCTCTGGTGCTCTGAGGTAGCAGCTGCCAGCGCACTCCAAAGCTCAGAATCTTTGGGACAAGGTACCTCCAATGGCCGAGGCAGTGGTATCCACACAATGAGACACGCTCTGGCAGACTAAGGCTCAAAAAGCCACGACTGAGTCGGGTCACCAAACGTCGACCACAAGCAAGATCAACAGCCTTGACAGGTTCAGAGTGATGGAAAAAGGTTTTTACATCGATGTAAAGAACTATTGTATAATAACTCTGGCTCAACCCCAGTTCGGGACGTCTCAGAAGGCTAGAAAGCTGAAAGACCCAGTCTCGCAGAAGCATCGCCTCCTCATGATACTATATAATATAATAAACTATACTAGAATAGACTAGAATATACTGTAATATCCTATATGATATTCTATATAATATCCTACATAATATTCTATATAATATTCTATCATATACTATGATATACTATAACATAATATTCCGCTGCGAGGCTTTTCTTGTTTTGAAGGCGCTCTGAGCCGCAGGCCGTTTCAATCGGAACTAAGGCCTCCTCACCCTGCAGTGAGGCTGCCACCCGCCTTCAAAGAAGGAAGATTTAACTTAAGGCTGACTAGGAAAAACTAGAATATTACTATACATTATATAGTGTATTGTAGTATATTGTAATAT